ACACCCGTGCCCGGGGGCGACTGTTTACCTCTTCTATTCCCGACTAGCTGCCTCACCCACTGATTATCTTCCTGTTCTTAGAACCTGTGATACAAAGACCAATGTAGAGCCAATCAATCGCCTGCATTTTAATGCAAATTCTTGGTAAATAACGCAGGAACTGCCTCTTCTTTTCCTTTATAAATCTGCTTGTAACTGCTGGTGATCGGACCGTATGTTCTGGGCAGCTTTAATCTGTGCTCCCGAGTTGCATCCTCAAGCTTGGCCCAAATAATCTCTCATGTTAATTTTGCCTCAGTTTCTTCCTTTTAGTTCAACACTATTTTTCCTTACTGTGGTCTCACTTTGTGCAAAGTACTGTAAAGTGAAGAATGACGGGGTTCATGATCTGGAAAGGAGAGCTTTCTTATCAAGGGTTGTAACCGCAGGCTGGGAATCCCAGCCTCAGGCAGAAAACCTGAGGGCAAGCACTTTGCTGGGGGGCGGGGACAGGAATTAGTGCTGAGTGGGGTGGCCAAACAGACATATTTAAAAGGCTATGGGAGGAGTCAGGAGTGTTTATAAAAGGAGAAACAGGCACATGTGCACTCGAGCTTCCTGACACTTCACGGGTCCCACGCTGAAAAAACGAAGGCGGTAGCATGATCCCAGAGTGGAGTTTTTGGCCCTCTGATGTCAAAAGGTGGGGCAGAGGACATGAAAACCCTCTGTGCACAGCCTCTGTAGACTGGCCAGCCCCGCTCTGTGGTCGTCGGTCTCCTACTGGGAAAGAGTGCTGGTCAGTTGTGCCGAAACTGCAAAAGGAGCGGTTTAGTGGTTGGTTGAAGTCAGAGGTGGGGTGAGTTTTTCCAAGGGCGGGTTCTGTTCAACCCTCAGAAACCCTGACAGGGTTAACAAGGGAGGGGTTGTAACAGGGGTGTCCAGCCTCCCACGGGTCATGGCTGGAAACTCAGTCTTAAAGTTTCTCTGATGTCCCCTTGGCCAAGAGGGGTGTGTTCAGTCAGTCGGGGGGCTTAGGATTTTTTATTTCTCAGTAGTTAACTCAGTAGTTATTTCTCAGAGGTCTAGGAAGCTGTTATCTTTCTTTCCAATAAGGTAAAATTCTGTTTCAACTTGTCTATTATTTGTTTTTTTCTATTTCATGATACTAGTAAGAGAGTTGATTTTTTAAATTTAATTTTTTTTTTTTTTTGGTAGAGATAAGGTCTTTCTCTGCTGCTCTGTTGTCCAGGCTGGAGTGCAGTGGCACCATCATAGCTCACTGCAACCTTGAATACCTGGGCTCAAACAATCCTTCCCACCTCAGCCTCCCAAATAGCTGGGACTACCGGCATGCGTCACCACACCCAGCTAGTTAAAAAAAATTGTTTTTGAGACAGAGTCCCATTCTGTTGCCCAGGCTATAGTGCCATGGCATCATTCAGCCTAGTTCACAGCAACCTCAAATTCTTGGTCTCAAGCAATCCTCCTGCCTCAGCCTCCCGAGTAGCTGGGACTACAGGTGCCACCACACCCAGCTAATTTTTCTACTTTTAGTGAAGATGGGGTCTTGCTCTTGCTCAGGCTCATCTCAAACTCCTGAGCTCAAGCAATCCTCCTATGGTCTCCCAGATTGCTAAAATTACAGGTATGAGCCACCACATCCAGCCATTTTTAAATTTTTTTGTAGAGATGGGGTCTCACTATGTTGCCCAGGCTGGTCTGTAATTTCTGGCCTCAAGCAATCCTCCCACCTCAGCCTCCCAAAATGTTGGGATTTCAGGTGTGAGCCACCATGCCCAGACTGATTTTAATGAAAGGTGGCACACCAATTGAAGATACCTGTTTCACATGCTATATATCATCCCTAATTTGAACTGATTTCAAAACGATATGGTATCTACTCAGGTTAAAGTTATGATCGTCTATGGCTAGCTGTACCTACCTACATCCATCTATCGATTCCATCAATGAGGTATTTCAAAGTCACTAATAACATGGTCCTTCCCATTTCATATAATTATTTTCTTACAACCATAGCTCGCACACTGCCTGTAGTAGTACACACCGGTGCAGCCTTGGTGAAGGGCAACGTGAGCATGTGTGTCCGCACTCTACGATCAATCCATTGATGCCAAGCAAGAAGACCTCCCCCCACTTCCCCTCACCCCAGCATCACCCAGGCTTGTGCCGTGGTTTGTCCTCGTGGCATTTGGAGTTCATGGGAATTCCTCACCATCCGGTTGTGTTGCAAATATTGCCCTTGTCTTTAGTTTACCTGGTTGCTGTTTTTAATGGATTCTGAGATATTGAAAAACGATGTCACTGCTGCACATTATTCCCGCAACCTCCATTTTTAAAAAATTCCATAAAAATTCTCTGGCCAGCGCCACATTTTCCCTTGTAGGCAGGGGGGCAGGGGCTGCAGAAAGCAGGCAGGTGTAACTGAACCAAACCGGGTCTGTTTTGCCCATGTGCAACAGAAAGCCAAACACCAAAGCACCGGTTTTTGCAGTAAGAAAGGTGTATTGTCAGGTGGCCACAACAAGGACACAGGAGCGGGACTCGAATGTCTTCCCGAGGTGGGGGCTGGGGCAGGTTTTACAGTCAGAGGGTCATGAGGCGTAATCTGACTCGATCCTGCCATGGGGTGATGCCAGAGCTCGATCTGACTGATCTGGGACCCTGCGGGCAGTGTCCACTTCTTCATCGGTCCCTTAGCCAATACCCCACTCTTCGGTCTGAGTACTTGGGTCCCACTGGTGGTTGCACACTTGGTTCACCTGCGCATGCTCAAGTTACGTGACCATTAACCTGGGGGTCCTTGGCAACTGAAAAACTCACAATTTTGTTACATAAAAGTTGTGGTCTGACGCTGTGACACAGGGAGAGACAAAACCTTGTTGCTACAAAAAAATGCACTGCAATACCAAAAGGTGACAATGGCTAAAAGATACTACTCATTCTGCTGTTATAATCAAAAATTAAGTTTCCAAAATGATTACTATCATGTGAAAAGCTATCGTATAATGCTAAGTGTGTGGGAAAGCAGCAAATACAGGACAATCTCGATTGCATAGAAAATTTATATATGTCAGGACAGATATACACAGAAAAAAGGGAACAGCACCACGGTTAAGGGGGGGAAGAAACCCCAACTCTGCAAAATAACTTAAAGAGGTTTATTCTGAACCAATGAGTGACCATACCACACGGCTACACAATCTCAAGAGTTCCTGAGAAAGCATGCCCAAGGCAGTCAGGTTACAATTTGGTTTTATGCATTTCAGGGAGACAGGAATTGCAGATAAAATCATAAATCAATATAGAAGGCCACCTTGGTTTAGCCCGAAAAGGTGTGCAGGAGGGGCTTATAGGTTGTACAGGTGGGTTCAGGAACTCTTTGATGGGTAATTGGTGAAAGAAATAAAGCTTTGTCTAAAGGCTTGGATTCAGTAAAAAGGAATGTTTTAAGTCTGCTAATCACAGACAAGCCACAATACAGACTCAGATCTGATAAGCAAATTAATTGATGGCCTGCAGGCCTTAGGTCATGTTTGTAATTTAGTGCTGTTATTTCCACAGTCTGTTTTGCCAGCCTAGTGACTTTTTTGTTTTTTTGTTTTGAGACAGAGTGCAGTGGAGTCATCACAGTCACTGCAACCTTAAACCCTTGGGCTCAAGCAATCCTCCAGCCTCAGCCTCCCGAGTAGCTGGGACTACAGGCGCGCAACACCACGCTTGAATAATTTTTTTTTCTACATATATTTTTAGCTGTCCAATTTTTTTTTTTTTTTTTTTTTTTTTTTGGTAGAGACGGGGTCTCACTCTTGCTCAGGCTGGTCACGAACTTCTGACGTCAAGTGATCCTCCCAGGGTGCTGGGATTACAGGCGTGAGCCAACTGTAGCGTCCAACCTCCCTTCCCTTCGTGGCTGGGAACTCGGTTGTAGGGTTTTTCTGGCCAATGAGGGCACCGTCCAGTTGCGGCAGGGCCTTAGGGTGTTATTTCTGGCACACGCTGCCAACTACGATTGAGAGAAGAAAACCTGCAACCCGAGCTACAAGGCGGAATGCAAAACTTATCAGGCCCAGGGAGCACCTGGGACTTTAGTCGGGCCCCCACCGAGCCAGCCGGCCACTGTTAAAGCCGCCCCGCGCTTACCTTCCAGTTCCTGCCAAGAGCCTACGCTACTTTATCGTAAACCCTCACCAACGGCTCAGAAACCGCCGCCTCCGTGCCTGTAACGTAAGCGTTGCCCTCGCAGCCCCGCCCGGGACCACTGCGTCTCCGGCCGCGCTAGCTCCGGGCTGAGCGACCCCACACCGGCTCCTGCGGCCGAGGCCACCGGGCGGAGGCCGCGCTCCTCCCTCCACGTCCCACACGAAGCGCGCCCGCGAGTTCTGGAAACTCTGCCGCAGGAATCGGGGGACGAGCCCGAGCCCCAACCGAGCCCCGCTCGGCTGCAGCGCCCTACGTCCGAGCACCGGCGTTACGAGGAAGAAAAGCCCCCGGGACGGCATCGCGCACGGCATGCCGGGACCCGTAGTCTCGCGACGCCAAGAGTAGCCGCGCGCCCCGGCAATGGAGGACAGGGTTCGCGCATGGCAAGCCGGGACCCGTAGTCTCGCGACGTCGGCAATCGCGGTGCGCGCCGGGAGGGAAAAAAAAAAAAAGAGCTCGCGCTGCATGCCGGGACTCGTATTAGGAGGTCGAGCCAAGCGTGTGACGGGGCAGGACGCCCGCAATGCCCGCGCCGCAGTGACGCGCTCCCGCGTGCGGCCCACAGGCTCGGTCCCAGAACGCTTCCGGGCCCGTGGCTGGCTCCGCGTGGGCGGCTTGTTTACTCGCGGTCCTCAGCGTGCGTACGCACGCACGCGGTGCACGTCCGACCGCCGTGACGTCGGCGCGCTCCAGGAAGCCGGCGCGGGCCGACGGCGGGTGAAGCCGGTGCCCGAGCGGAGTCGCTGCACCCTGGGTCCCGCCGCGCCCTGAGCGCCGCAAGCCACCCTGCGTTCGCGATGGAGGCGCCGGCCGCGGGCCGTGTTCCCGCCGAGGGCGCCCCGCCGGCGGCCGTGGCCGAGGTGCGCTGCCCGGGCCCGGCACCGCTGCGCTTGCTCGAGTGGAGGGTGGCGGCAGGCGCGGCCGTGCGGATCGGCTCCGTGCTGGCTGTGTGCGAGGCCGCCGCCTCCGCGCAGCACTCCGGGCCCGCCCCGTCCCGCGCCGCCTCTGGTAGCTGTGTCCGCTCCGCGCGGGCCGAGCGCAGGCTCCGGTCGGAGCGCGCCGGCGTGGTGCGGGAGCTGTGTGCGCAGCCGGGCCAGGTGGTGGCCCCCGGGTGAGTGCTCCTCGCCGGGAGATGGACGATTCCGGGACCAGGGAGGAGAGGAGGGTGGTGGGTCTTGGGTCTGAGGGAGGAGGCGTCCTGGGCCGGGCAGATGGGATCCTGGGTCCTGGGCCGGGAAGGGACGGGTCTTGAGAGAGGGGAGTGTTGTGCTGGGAGAGTCCTGGGGCGGGCTTGGGTTGGAGAGAGGCGCAGGTCCTGAGGACCCAGGGCGGGCACCTTGCCCGGAGACTGCCTCCAGGCTGCACTGTTACAGCTTTTCGGGGGTGGGCAGGGGCGCTCCAAGGGGCTGCGCTCCGTGAGAACGTTGGAAAGAGAACACAGACGCTTCTCCACAGGTGGACAGTTGCCAGCTGTGATTTTACTGAGGGGCATTTTGGATTAAAAGGAAAAATTCCTTAGTGATCTGGAGTTACTGTTTTTGGGAAAGCGATTGCATTCGTTCCTTTTCTTTTGCAGTAGACGGTCCCCCTTCCCCTTTAAGACTGCACCTTTACGAGTCAAGAAAACTCAGGGCGGCCGTGAGTGCAGGTCTAATTAGGCAAGCTCCAGACTTGTTATTGAAATATAAACTGTTGGGCGTGTGCACGTCTTTACATTTTGTAAACTTTGTGAAACGCACTTGTAAAACCTAGTGTAGTTCTGCTTCGTATCTGAAGAAGGAGCAGAACTGAGGCCTTGCAACCAATGCAGTGAGCCTTTGCTTGGCCACAGTGGGCATCTTCGAGGGCTGGGTCCAGGTGGCAGGGTAGTGCGTGGTCATTTGATGGGCTCCGTAACTGTCAGTCCTTGTGTTCCAGTCTCATGAGGGGACATGTTTCCTTTCATGAAATGCTGGAGCGTGTAAGTGTGCAATTTATGTCTGAACTTACCAGTGTTGTGTTCTGAGGTTGGTTTGACGTGAGCACAAGTGCGGGCACACGTGGCTGAGGTCGTTTTGAACGTAAGGAACAGACAGAAACTCCAGGGAAAGTGTGCCTGCCTGCAGTGGGCTGGGTGTGAGAGCTGCCCTCTGGAAAGGACGTCACCCTTTCTGGGGCTGACGCTCTTGTCCGCCCCCTTTGGCTTGTGCCAGCCAGCCTTTGTTGAGTGTCTGCTAGGTGGCTGGTTCCACAGGAGCAAGGATGAGGACAGGACCATCTTTTCAGTCCTGGCTCCACTCACCAGCTGGAGAGGTGGCCCCAGCACATCATGTGGAGAGGGAGCCTGAGTCCTGGTGTTTGGCAGGGCGCCCACTCCTGCCCACCGAACACTGGTGGGTGGGCCTGGGAGGGTTCAGGCCACACCCTCAAAAGGAGCTGTCTGCCTGGCTTCCTTAGGACAAGGCTGTGGCTCCGTGGGCACTGTGGTTGGGCCCCAGAAGAGTTACCCGACCTTTCTTGGGCCCTAATTAGCGCTTTGTCAGCCCACGGGCTGTGGAGGTGAGTCCCAGTGCTGGTGTGTTCACTGGGTGGAACACTACAGGATGGAAGAGCTCTTCTGGTTTCTCATTCTGCTCCTCTGGTTATACAGAAAGAACCACTGAAGGCCAGACAGGTATGTGGCTTGGTTATATAGCTAGTTAGTGCAGACACTCCATGTTCAGATAAGTTAATCTAGTGAACCCAACGATCCGAGCACATTGGTTAATAGTGAATCCAACCAACCGAGCACATTGGTTAATCAGCCAAGTAATTAGTTTGATGACAAGTTCCCAGCAGTTTGTAGCTTGCTTTTTTTTTTTTTTTGAGATCTGGGGGTGTTTTACAGCGATGGTTCATCATCATAGGGCTCTTTGAGAAACCGATGTGTTATAGTTTCTCCTCTGATGAAGTATCTAGGTGTCACCAAAGGTATTCCTGTAATTCAGGAGGCTCACTGATTCCTGTGCCACTAATGCACGAATAGCAGTTGAATCCCTGCTTTAGAGAAAGCCACACCAATGTGACATTGAATTTAAAATGCCTCCTCCGTTTCCATGTTTCCCTGTGGGTCTGTGTACAGGGTGTTTGTGGGCGTTCCAGGGCGTGTTGTGGTAATGTGAAGTTAATGTTTCCAGTGGTATCCTGTGTGCCCTGCACGTGGGGATGAGGAGGAGCAGTTGGCAGAAGCATTGGTTTAAAGCCCTGTTTGCGTTTCCTTTGGCAATTCTCGTCATTTGTTGGGAATCAGGTTTGTGACTTTCAACTGCCTTATCTGGTTGGATGCCACAGGTGTGTTTGCAGTTGGGATTCAGAGCTGCTCGCTGTTCTGCACTGTTGGAGGTCGGTCTCAGTGGACTGTCCTGGCTCTTGGGGGCTGCAGTCTGGAGCCCATGAGTGCTGGCCTCCCCCACGATGCCTGCTGACCTTTGTGGACACAGTTTGAAAGTCACTAGATCCAGTCACTTGTTGGCAGGTTTGTAGACAGTTTACTAGTGAGCTTCTGCGGTGTTGTGGGGGCTTTGCTGGCGTCTGGCCATTGAGAGCTGCAGGTAGAGATCGCCCTAGTTTTCATTTACAGCCCGTCAATAGTGCATTTCTCTAAAACGTGAGTTTCAGCTCAGTCGGTCTTTACTGACAATTAACAATCGACCCTGAACAACACAGTTTGAACTTCAGGGGTCCATTTCCACACAGATTTGTTTCAATAAATACAGTCTGTTCTGTACATCCATGGGGTCCACATCTGACAGTATTTGTGGGATGCAAAACCTGCGAATATAGAGGGCCAGCATTTTTCGTCTCTGGGTTCTGCAGGGCCCATTGTGGGGCTTGGGGATGGGCGAATTTCGACATCCACAGGGGTCCTGGAACCAGTCCCCTGTGGACGCTGTAGCATGGCTGCGACTGTCTCTGGAAGTCTTCCCAAGGTAGGTTGTATGTGTCTGACATACAACAGGGAGTACTGGCTGTAATTCCAGCCTAGTGCTGGAAGGTGCTCGTCTCCAGCATCCATCCTTGTCTCCATGACACTCTGGATGTTGCTTGGTGAAGAGCCGTCTCAGTCCCTCTAAGCAGCCTGGGCCACAGTACTTTCATTGAAGGGTAAGGAAACAGGGTTTTCCCGTGTTTTTCTTCTCCTCTGGTTGTCAGTGTGACCAGTTCCATCAGCAGCTCTGTGGTTCTAGTCGCTGGCTGCAGACCGGAAGGGCTGGACAGGGAGCTGCTCCACGGGCAGGTTCGACTCTTCCTGAGCAAGTCCTGCAGTCGCACTTGAGGCTGTTTTATACTTGGTTTGTCTTGACAGCCTGCGGAGGTCTGCTTGAAGTGACAAGTTCCTGAGATCTTTATATGGGAGAGCAAGTGTTTGGTTGACATTTGCTTCAGATGTTTGTGGACTGACTATTGTGTGCAGGTCCTTAGAAAGCCCCGTTTAGAGTGTCTAAATGACATGGCACTTGTACAGACAAGTGCGATGTGAAATCGCAGCTATTTTTGAGCAGAATCTGGCCCTACCCTCAGCTCATCTGGGTGAATGGGGGAGGGGTCTGCTCATGGTCCTGTCCTGAGAAGAAGCTCCCCGTGCCGATGGGCCCCGACCAAGGCTCTTGTCAGGGAGCAGCATCCCGCCCTCCTGGCCAGTCAGAAATGCAGGTGTCCAAAATGGAATTCTCATAGGGCCGCCTGAGGAATAGGCAGGTAACACAACCAGCCGGGAGAGAAAGCTGTGAATTCTGGGCTCGGGTGAAGCCGTGGGCTTGTGGACCACGTGGTCTTGGTACCTCCAGGCTTTATCGAACTTCTGTTTTCCACGATGCCTGACTTGTGGGACCTTTGGAAAGTCTTGGGAAGCGCAGCCCTCGGATCTTCCTGGGGGTGTCGTCCAGGACATTGTCGGTGGTGCGTGGAATCCAGGGAGGACTAGCAGTGTCTGTCAGAGGCTGGATGGTTCTGTCTGCCTGCGGACATTGCCTTGCTTCTGGTCCAGAACGACTTTGTGTCTGAGGCTTCCCCCACCCACTCTTACCCCTCATCCTGATTTTTTCACAGGGCTTGTAAAAGTGCTTATTTTTAAGGAATGAAGCAAAGTATGTTTGAAGAAATATTGTTAAACTTATTAAACTGGAGCTTTTGAAGACCAGACACAGGCAGCGGCCTGTGTGGTGATGTGAGGGTCTGGACTCTGGGCTCCCTCGGGCTGAGGCACAGGTTGCTTGTCAGTAGCTTGTGTTTTCCTAGACCGTGTGTATATGAGAGGCTGAGGTGTGGGTGGTGCTTAGGTACCTGCGGCCAACACGCTCTCGTGGGGGTTTGGGACAGAGAGTAAGCTCTGATCCTGTTCTTGTGGAGTTTAGAACTTAACTCTAAAAAATGCTTTATATCGTGGAGCGTTCACAAAGTGAAGAAGACTCCCACGTGGGTCTGTGTGAGTGAGCCTCCTCTAGTGTGGGGAAGCAGAGCACCACGGGGAGAGGTGGTGGGACCCGTGGCCCCTCCATGTAGAAACAGCAGGTACGAGTGATCGCATGGAAAGCACTAACAAAAGCCATGTACGTGTGGCCGTGGTTGTCACTGTTGCCGGCAGCCACATTCATCCTGACCACATCATTGTTTTTTCTTAGAAGAAGAACAGTTCTGGGAACTTAAAAGTGCCACATTTGAGTGTGGTGGAAATAATCACTAGAGTGTCACTTTGATCTGTGATAGGATTGCTTCATCCTGGCAGGTAGAGAAGTAGAAACCATTCTCATGCCCAGGAAAGAAACGGAGGTTCCAAAAGGTGTGACCTGCCCAGCGTCTCTCGGTGTACGTGGCTTTGGGAGCTGTGCGATGCCGGCGTCTCAGGGTCTGTAGGTGGCCTCGAGGGACGTCCAGCCCCCGCCTCTCCTGTGCTGCTGTGTCTGTAGGCTGGATTTCATCCAGAGACCTTCCCAGAGTGGGGGAAGTAGATAGAATGATAGTGTGTATCTATTTTTGTAATATTTATGTGGAGTAAAATTATTTTAATTGAACATGTTTTGAAAATCATCATCTGACAGAAACTAAATCTTTGGATTAGTTTATCAGATGATTTCCTTTTTTCCTACAGATTTGTTTTCCTTTTGGTCTGTTGTCATTCACAGGGAGGCATTGAAGTCTCCAAAGAAAGGAGAAAAACAGAATAATCAGGGACTGTGTGGTGACCTGCAGGAACGGAGGTGGAGGCTGCCTGAACGTGTTCACTGACATGTGACAAGCCCGTCCACAAGAAGAGCGTCTGTGTTAGCCAGTGTTTGGTGTGAGATGCTACTAAAAAGCAGGAAAAAAAAATTACTGAATAAAATGAAAATCATTCCAACGACAGCAGTATTACTATCTTTATTGTTTTGTATAACAGATTTTAGAATAAAAAATCTTAGGGAAATTGTAGTAAAGTTAGACTGGAGAACAACCTAGATTAGTAGCTCATTTTGTTCCGCAGTTAGGCAGTGAGAAGGTTTTACAGCTCTCAACACAGCTCAGTTATGCACTAACATGATCACCTGCAGAACTCGTCTCGGAAATAGGGAAACAACCTTTTCATCCTGATATCAAGAATCTTGATGAATTAGTAGATTCTTTTAGTTAAATAGTTTTATCCTTCGCTGTTGATATCTGCACTATTCAAAAGATTGTTAAAAAGACAGTTAAGTCTAAAACTTGGAAAGTCATCACTTTGTTTAATTCAACCCATTACATTTGTACTTCAGATGGGGTTTTGCTTTGTTTTTTCCAGTTTTTACTTAACAAAACCATTGGGCTTTTTTGTTTCCTTAGCTCTGTGTGCACATGTGACTTACCTTTGCTGCAGATTTCCAGGTATCTGATCTAATCTTTTAAATAAAAGCTTTTGAACCAAACGGGCTTTGAAGCCCATCTGTCTAAAAGTGCTGTGTAGGTTTTAAGAAACCGTGTGTGCATTATCAGATATATCTCCATTTTTGCGTTTTCTGTAAAGTTAGTTTTAAAGGGGATCATATGAAATCATCAACCATCTGGGTACAGAGGAGTGCGCAAATCTCGGTTTTATGTACATTTTAAACAATGCACAAATACTGGTAACAAAGCTAAAAACAACAAACGATGCAAATTCTTTGTCTCAGAGAAGTGTTTTTTATATTTGGAAGAGAATCTAGAGAGAGTGGAAATGATCAAAGTATTCACGTGATAGTTTAAAGGACAAATACACTTTTTAAAGCTTATGAAGAGACGTCTTAATGGACTTTTAAGTAGTGCATATTTAGCATTATGTATGTACAGAATTCCTTATAATTTCAAGATAGAATTGAGCTGAAATTTAACTTAATATTTGTATTCTGAAGTAGCTTTTAAAGACTTGCAGTAGTTTTCATATGGTTTCATACTAAATCATGAATAATTGCTGTGTTGCCCAGGCTGGTCTTGAACACCTGGCCTCAAGTGATCCTCCTGCCTCAGCCTCCAGAAGTGCTGGGATTGCAGGCGTGAGCCACCGTGCCCAACCTTCTCTTAGCGCTTTGATTTCTTACATCAGTGTTTTAGATATTCAGCATGTGTGTATGTTTGATAGTTTTATAACTAAGTATTTCATTATCTTTGGAATGGTAAGTGGTATTGTTTTCAAATTTTGGTTTCCACATGTTCATTGTTAGTACGTAGAAATGCTGTTAGTTTTGTGTGTTGATTTTGTTTTATGATCTTGTTGAACTTCTTGTTAGAGTTTTGTTTTTGTAGGTTCCTTGGGATTTCATGTCTTGCTTTTCCGTCTGTCTCCCTCACTGCACTGGCCGGGACTGCGGTTGAGTGAGTGTGTGGGGAGCAGACATCTGGGGGAGGCGCTGGTTCCACAGTTGATCCTGCCTGTGATGCCAGCTGTGGGTTTCTCACAGATGCCCTTTATTAAGTAGAGGCAGTTCCCCCAATTTGCTGAGAGTTTACTGTGAGCCCTAGAGACAGAGCCCTGTAGTTCTCTTTCTCAGTTGCGCCATCTTTGGTTTTTGTGTCCAGCTGCCACTGACCTTGAGCAGTGAGCTGGGAGGTGAGCACCTGACTTTAGGAATCACCTTAAGGTTTCTCTGACACCAGCACCGCCCACGGCTCTTAGAGCTTGCCGTGCCCTGGACTCATTAAATAGTATCTGCTTTTTTAGAATTCTGACATTAAATGCTCTTAGTTATTTTCTGTGTTTTGTCTTTAGAGTGTTTTTGTAGTTCCCCTTTTGCTCACAGAATGTAATTCTGACCCTTATCTGGAGTCTCTGACTTTTGTGTTAAGTCTGGTCATGCGGGTATATTAGTTATAGAACTCTGCTCATTCGTGGTAAAGTAATTCGATAAGATTAAAGAAATTGTACTTGTTGCTTTAAAAAGTTTAACAAATTTTTTCAAACTGTATCATTATTATGTTGTCTGGTTTTAAAAAAAACAAAACTTGATACAGGTGGAGTAGCCCATATTCGAAATGCTTGGGACCAGGGTGTTTCGGACGGAGCGCTTTCTATGAGCTGAATTTTGAGTGAGCTTTTTTCTTCCCCTGGTTCCCACCGACTGAGCTCGTGAGGGCCCTGTTAGGGGGTGTCAGGAAGCCAGTCTCCTCTGTGCACCCCCCGGCATCTCGCTGTGGTTCCTCCCCATCCCCTCACATGCCCATCCTGTTTGCTCACAGGAAGAGCCCCTCCACTCACCGCCAGGAACGGGGTGCCTGCTGCAGACATGGCCCCCACATGCCCTCCTGCGGCGACAGGAGCACGCCCCCAGCCCAACGCACCCCCAGTTCAGGGAGACCAGACTGGGGAGCTGTGCTGTCTACACTCGGCCTCGGCCTTCCAGTGGGGTGGGCATGGAATGGGCCCGCCACCTGGCCTCCCCAGCCCTTATCCCCTCTCCTTGGCTTTTGGCGTCTGCTCCACCCGGGAGGAGCCATGTCCTGGGGGCGGCCGAGTGGTCCCTGCGTGCGTGGGGTGGAGGTCGGGGTGTGTTCAGAGCCGAGGACCCGGGAAGGAAGTGGATGCTACCATGTGTGCTGAGGGCAGGGGACTGCAGCGGGGCTGGTTCCTGCAGGCCCTGGCTTTGGAGACCACGTCAGACTCCGCCGCGGGCAGGTACCATGGACAGGTCCCACTGATAGACAGTGGCTGGGCCAGTTTCCCCAGGGCACCGTGCTGCAGGGTCTCTGCTGGGCCGGCACAGCCTCGGCCTGGGGGCACCGGCTGCTCCGGCCTGCAGGAGCCAGGGCGCGCTGGATCCCGGGCCTTGGTTCCGGCCCTTCCCAGGGTTGTTGCAGCTGACCAGCGTTCAGACCTGTGAAGAAAATAGTTTCTGTTCACATAAAAGATAGGAATATTGTAATAGTTCTGTCAGAAAAATACAGATGAATCAACCATTCTCTATACTTGGAACATATGTGGGATGTAATTCATTATTTTTTGGTATTACACGAACTTTTTCGTTACTGCATTTAATTAACACAGATTTGGTTTTTATACATTCTCTATCACAAATGTAGAAAGATCATATCAATATTTATTGTATTTTGAGGCAATTTTTATGTCATCCCGAAGTCTTCTCCCCTGAGTGCACGTGCTTAGTGTTCGCAGCTGCTCGGCCACGCGTACGGCAGCGGGGGGCTGGTTTGTTCCTTCTACACGAGGAAGACCCGTACGTGAAAATGCCTTCGTTTTATGAACGAAGAAGTGCACCCTGGAGGGGTAACGTGACCGGCCTGAAGTTAAGCAAGGGTCACTGTAGAAATGGTACAGATTTTTTATTATTCAGGTGCTCCTTCTAGCACCGCGTGATACACCAAGAGATTTTAAAATACGTTTCCTTTGTGTTTTGTAGAACGGTTCTGGTGCGGTTAGAAGGATGCAGTCACCCAGTTGTCATGAAAGGCCTGTGTGCGGAGTGTGGCCAGGACCTGACCCAGTAAGTACCTGCAGAGGGATTCAGGGTGGGTGTTCTCGTTGCGGGTGGTAGACACCGCCTCCCTCCCTCCCTGCCAGCTCATGCTGCGCTCAGTGCGCTCAGTTCCGCGACTCCTCAGGTTCTCGGGCCACCCGGTCACGCGAGCGCTCTCCCGAGTATGCTGCAGACGTGCGGGAGTTGAGGTTGTCTTCTCGCCTAGGCGGGGACACGCGGGTCCCGTGCTGCCTGGAGACTGCTCTTCCCAAACCCCCCATTCTCGCAGCTCGGAACTCCCATCCTCTCACAATCCGATCCTCTCACCTCAGAGCCCCCGTCCTAGAACCTCAGAGCCCACCTCTTCTCCGCTTAGAGCTCCCCTCCACTCACCTCACAGCCCCCATGATCTCACCTCAGAGCCCGAATCTTTTCCATCAGAGTCCCGGTCCTCTCCCCTCAGATCCCCCATCCTCTCCCCTCAGATCCCCCATCCTCTCCCCTCAGATCCCCCATCCTCTCCCCTGAAATCCCCCATCCTCTGCCCTCAGATCCCTGAAATCCCCCATCCTCTCCCCTCAAATCTCCCATCCTCTACCCTGAGATCCCCCATCCTTACCCCTGAGATCTTCCTTCCTTTCCCCTCATACTCACCCCCCCTTGTTTCATGGTCCTTCCTCTCCACACTGGGGCTGGTTGACTGCAGTCCCAAGTCGTGTTTCTCATTTCTCCGCTTTGCAACGTGAGTTGTTGCTCGATCTTTTTTTCCCTGTTTTCATGTTTAAGGGCTTTTCTCTGCCTCCGTGTTACTTTTGCAGTTTGTTTCACAGCAACTGTGAGTGTGCCCGTTACTCAATGTAGCGCTGCAGCTCTCAGTGTGACTGGGATATCAGTTTTTCATCCGTGTTCCTGTCTTCAGACAGCAGAGAAATTCTCATAGTTGCCCATAGAATAGAGTGTATTAGTGTATGTCAGTGTACGTGAATGAAAACAGAAGTCAGAGTCCTATCACATACAGTTAAACGTGATTTTTGTGGACAGTTAGTGGCGTGACAGCGAGTAACCCCGTCCCTGCGTCCCCAGGTTGCAGAGTGAGAATGGGAAGCAGCACGTGCCCGTGTCCACAGCGACCGTGTCGATGGTGCACAGCGTGCCGGAGTTGATGGTGAGCTCCGAGGTGAGTCTCCGTGTCTGAGCACACTCTGTGTGTAGAGGGACTTTGGGGAAGACCCAGTCTGTGGCCGTTGTCAGGCGGATGCTGTGTGGAGTGTCACCTCCCTAAGACGTGGGGCTGCCCTTGTTCCCATTTTCTCATCTTTCTTCACAAATGAGTCTGCCTTTCCCGGTGACTCTCGAGGCACCGTCGGCTCCACTCTTGTGTTTCGGGGTCTCTCCATCGCGGCCATTGCCGATGTGAGCGCCTGGGCCAGTCCGGGTCCCTTTGAGCCAGGGAGGGACGTGAGAGACAGCTGCACGCAGGGCTCAGGGGTGGTGGAGCCCCCAAGGGCGTCGTGGGCCGGGCAAGCGTCCTGGGGAGGGAAGCGCTTTCTGGTGGGGACCAGCAGGGCCTGAGGGAGATGGCGCTGTGTTGGCTTCCAGGCTCTGCTGTGCTGGTGCCCAGAGGAGCTGCGCTCAGGCTGTGGCGAGGAGGGCATAGGGAGCGACCCGGGTGGCGTTAGCGGTGCTGCTGGCGGGAGAGCAGGAGAGCCGGGGATGGTTGGGTGGCAAGTGGTGGATGTAGTGGGGTGGGGGGAACAGGGTTGCGCCCGTGCGCTGCGGGCACCAGTGCTCAGGGTTAAAAATGAGGCTTGGGTCATCTTTGAAGGTCGACTTCTTGTCTGTGTGTTTCGAGAGTCGTGTAGGGCTCTGCTGGTCTGGGGCTTCCCTGGCACCTCATGTAGTCCTAGGTCGGGGTCCCCAGGAAGGAGCAAGAGGCAGACACCCTCCCACCACTGGGCTTCACCACCTGTGGTGGGGACAGTAGGTGCATTCCACAGTTACCTAGAAAAACCAGTTTTTCACCATAATCATTAGGCTCAGGGCCATATATATTTGTAAATCGGTAAAACATTTTTCAGTGTTGTGATTTTATTAGATTTGTGCTTTTAAATGATGTATACCAACTTTTGTCTTTTTTTATGGGAAAGAGAAAATGTCAGATACGTAAATCTAGGTTTTCTGAATTAGTGAACTTTAAACAAGTAGAAATGTGTGTGGACAACAGAACTGGGCACCCTTAGGATGGAGGAGATGGAGGTGTCCCCACTGCTCCCACCGCGACAGAACCAGGGCCAGCCCTTCTGCACTTTTCTCCCAGGGACAGCACAGCACAGGTTCCTGTCTAACCTAGGCAGGACCAGGATGTTGTCGGTCAGTAACGAATGCCAGTTACGTGAGAAATCATAAATGATGCACAACTTGCCCCCTTTTACGTCACGCAGCTCTGGCGTGATGCAGGAGAGTCCGACGTGGGCACCGTGTAGGTGGCACCTGCAGTGCACCGTCTCCAGGGCCCCCCTGGGGCTCTTCACGGTGGAGCAGCAGTGCTGGCCCTGGAGAATCCAACCCGGGTGTCATCAGCCGCTGCCACCACAGCCCAGCGCGGGACAGGTGTCCCTCCCCCAGCTGAACTTCCTTATTTCCTTTGTTCTGCAGCTCACTCTGATGGAGTTGCCCCTGGCATCCAGCTAAATTTTTATAGCAACAACCAGTCTCTCTTCCCTCTCCCTTTTTGTTGGTTTACGTATTTAACTAAATTATGGAATTGTAGTCACGAGGCAGACTGCCGTGAACAGGTTTGGCCCACGTGGGGCTGGCCTTGGTTACATGCAGCGTAGGTCAGCCGGGTGTGGCCCAAGGGCACAGTGTGTGGCAGATGCCTGGCATGTTGCCACCCAGTGTCCTGTGTGCTCTGGGGTGAATGCTGGAGGTCAGTTAAGGACTTATCTTTGTCTTTTGGTATTTCTTAACAAAATTGTATTTTATTTTGGATCCAAATACACTTCGCCATTTTTCAATTTTTCTTTTAAACTTTAGCAAGCTGAAAAACTAGGAAGGGAAGACCAGCAACGACTGCATCGAAACAGAAAACTAGTGCTCATGGTTGATTTGGACCAGACCTTAATTCACACGACAGAACAGCACTGTCAGCAGATGTCAAATAAAGTAAGTACCGTGAGCACCATCACAGCATGGCTCTCCCAGAAACCAGGGATCCCATCGTTTCAATTCAAAAGTACGTTATCTTGTTTTTATTTCATATAGGTCAGCCTGAATTTGGGAAGTAGACTAGTCATAGATGTGAGCTGTTTCCCTGTTCCTGGGCCGTTGCAGAACATGTGCAGTCTCCCCCCGTGTCTGGTGTGTGTAGGAGGCGCTGCACTCGCGTCCCTGTGAGTGTGGGAGCCCCTGTGTGCAGAGCCACACTCGCCGCCCTGTGAGGACCCAAAGTGGACGGCACGCAGAGTCTGTGGAGGGGTGGCTTGCTGTGGAAGGTGTGCTGATTTCAGGTGCTTTTGTGTCCTGGGATCTTCAGGACAGGTGGCTGCCTGGGTCTGTCCTCACAAGAACCAGGCTGGAGACGAAGGCTGCAGTCACTGAGCTTGAATTCTAGTCAGGGAGACCTGCCGGTCAGGGCGGAATCCACCTAGACGTACACAGAGCTGGCCCGCAGTTCATCTTATCCCCAGGAGGGAGCAGAGAAGTTGAATTTCTAGACCAGAATACTTTTAATGCCTGTTACAGATGGCTCATCCAAAGCTGTGTCAGCATGTGCTGTCATTAGCAAGGAAGATGTCACCAACATTGAGTTAGCTTTTTTTTTTTTTTTTTTTGAGACAGGATCTTGCTCTCTTTTCCAGGCTGGAGTGCATTGGTGCGATCACAGCTCACTGCAGCCTCAAACTCCTGGGCTCAAGCAATCCTCCTGCCTTGGCCTCCCAAAGTGCTAGGATTATAGGTGTGAGCCACCGCTCCTGGCGGAGTTAGCATTTTTTAAAAGTGTTTGCTATTAAACAGATAATGTGTATGTAGACTCTTAGTTTAGACCTTGGGTTTTGAGAGGCTTGTCAGTTCCTAATAACTGCTGGGCACATGTAGAGGTGCTGGCACGGCCTTGCAGCTGTTCTCTGGCAGGAGGCCAGGCAGATGCTGGAGGGTCCAGCACTGAGCCCAGAGGGGGTGTGGTCCTGAGCCGTGGGAGGTTTGGGGAAAACAAGTTCATGGCAACTACATATGGTAGGTTCTGCTACAGACGTCATCAGAGGAAGTTCAGTCATTTAAACTTGGCTGAGTGAATCAGTCAGGTGGTACAAGCACGCAGGTGCGGGTCTGCGCAGGTCCCTCAGGTGATCTTGCACTCACATTGCGTTTACATCGTTCTGAGTGTGGAGGTAATTTAATAATTGTGATGTGCTTGAGTTTCTTTTATCTCTAGAATTCAGTGCTGTTACATCATAGTTTATATTTTTAGTAGTACTGGTCATTTTTGTAAATGTGGGACCTGTGTGGGACCACGTCGTAGTCTTTTGCGCAGTATGAGCCGTGTGTGTGTTGCCCTGGCTATATCTAGTGTTTACTGTGCCTTTGAAGTTGGGCATTTGAAGTTAGTTCTAAGAGTTTTATTACTCTTTATTGCGCTTTGTAGATACTGGTTTTATTTGTTTGTTTGTTTTACAAATCAAAGGTTTGTGGCAACTTTGCATTAAGGAAGTCTCTCGGTGCCATTTTTCTAGCATCATATGCTGACTTCCGGTCTCTGTGCCACATTTTGATAATTCTCTCAGTATTTCACACTTCTTCATTACTGTCAGACCTGTTGTGGTGATCTGTGGTCAGTGATCTTTGACGTTACTATTATAATTTCTTGGGGGGTACCACAAACCACACTCGTAGGACTTTATAAATGGAGTGTGTGCTTGACCGCTCCGCTGGCTAGCAGTTTCCCGTCTCTCTCCCTCTCCTCAGGCTCCTGTTCCCTGAGACACAGCAGCATTGAAATTAGGCCAATAAATAACTCTACAATGGACTTGAAGTCTGTGTTCCCCCAGGCCACAGAACTCCACCCCCACCCCGGGTCCATGGAAAAATTATTAATATCTTCCACAAAACCTGGGGGGTGCACAGCAGGAGGTGAGTGGTGAGCAAGCGAAGCTTTATCTGTATTTGTGCCACTCCCCATAGTTCACATCACCACCTGAGCCCTGCCTGCCTATTCCCCCTCACCCCCACAGTCCATGGAAAAATTTTTTTTTTTATTTTAATATGAGGGGTGGGGGATTGTGAGTATGGGTGCTCAGTTGCCTTGTTTGTTTTCGTTGAGACAGAGTCTCACTCTGCTACCCTGGGTAGAGTGCAGTGGGGTCATTGTAGCTCACTGCAACCTCCAACTCCTGGGCTCAAGCGATCCTTCTGCCTCAGCCTCCTGGGCACAGGCGCACACCATGACGCCCGGCTGGGGTTTTTTTTCTTTCTTTTTGGTAGAGACGGGGTTTCACTCTTGCTCAGGTTAGTCTTGAACTCCTGAGCTCAAGCAATCCTCCAGCCTCAGCCTCCCAGAGTGCTGGGATTATAGGCATGAGCCACCTCGCCTGGCCAATCCGTGGAAAAATTGTCTTCCATGAAACCAGTTCCTGGTGCCGAAAAGGTTGGGGACCGCTGCTTAAGTGTTCAAGTAAAAGGAAGAGTCACATGCCTCTCACTTTAAATCAAAAGTTAGAAATGATTACGCTTAGGAAGGAATGTTGAAAGCTGAGATAGACCACAAGCTAGGCCTTTTGCACCAAATAGTAGCCAAGTTGTAAATGCAAAGGAAAAGTTCTTGAAGGAAATCAAAAGTGCTATTCCAGTAAACACACAAATATGAATAATAAGAAAGTGAAACAGCCTGTTGCTGATACGGAGAAAGTTTGAGTGGTCTGGACAGAAGATCAAACCAGCCACAACATTCCCTTAAGCCAAAGCCTAATCCAGAGCAAGGCTCTGACTCTCCTTACTTCTACGAAGGCCGAGAGAGGTGAGGAAGCTACAGGAGAAAGTTGGAAGCCAGCAGAGGTTGGCTCATGAAGTTTAAGAAAAGAAGCCGTCTCTATCATATAGAAGTGCAAGGTGCAGCAGCAAGTGCCGATGTAGCAGCTACGGCAAGTTACCCAGAAGGTCCAGCTGAGATCACTGAGGAAGGTGGCTGCACTGAACAACAGACTCGTAATGTAGACGCAACAGCCTCGTCTTGGAAGAAGATGCATCTAGGACTGTCACAGCTGGAGAGGAGAAGTCAGTGCCTGGCTTCAGAGCTTCCAAGGCCAGGCTGACTCTCTCGTTAGGGGCTAATGCAGCCGTGACTTCAAGTGGCAGCCAATGCTCATCCACCATTCTGAAAGTCCTGGGGCCCTTAAGAATGCTAAATCTACTCTGCCTGTGCTCTAGAAATGGAACAGCAAAGCCTGGATGACGGCTCCTGTGTTTACAGCATGGTTTGCTGAATATTTTAAGCCCACTGTTGAGACATGCTCAGGAAAAAAGATTCCTTTGGAATATTCCTGCTCCTTGACCATGCATCTGGTCACCCCAGAGCTGTGGTGGAGACGTACAGGGAGATTAATGCTGTTCTCATGCTTGATAATGCCCACTCTACAGCCCACAGATCAAGAGTAATTTCAACTTCCAAGTTTTACTATTTCAGAAAGATATTTTGTAAGGCTAGAGCTGCCATCGACAGTGATTCCTCTGTTGGATCTGGGCAAAGTAAATTGAAAACCTTCTGGAAAGGACTCCCCCATTCTAGGTGCCATTAAGAAAATTTGTGATTTATTGGAGGGGATCAAAAAATAAACATGAACAGGAGTTTGGAGGAAGTCGATTCCAACCCTCATCGATGGCTTATAGAGGTTCAAGCCTTCAGTGGAGGAGTCACTGCAGATGTGGTGGAAACAGCAAGAGAACTAGAGTTAGGAGTGGAGCCTGAAGGTGTGACTGAATTGCTGCAATCTCAGGATAAACTTGAATGGATGAGGAGTTGCTTCCTATGGATGAGCAGAGAAAGTGGTTTCTTGAGATGGAACCTACTCCTGGTGAAGATTCTGTGAACACTGTTGAAATGACAACAAAGGATTTAGAATGTTCCACAAACTTAGTTGGTAAAGCAGCAGCGGAGTTTGAGGACTGACTCCAATTTTGAAAGAAATTCTACTGTGGGTAAAATGCTCTCAAACAGCATCACATGCTACAAAGAAATCTTTCATGCAAGGAAGAGTCTTTATCAATGCAGTAAACTTCACCGTCGTCTTATTTTAAGAAACTGCTGCAACCGCCCCCACCTCAGCAACCACCACCCTGGTCAGTCAGCACCAGCAACATTGAGGCACAACCCTCCACCAGCAAAAAGATTAGTATTTGCTCAAGGCTCAGGTGATTGTTAGTATTTTTTAACAGTAATGTATTTTTAAATTAAGGTATGCACATTGTTTACTTAGCCATAATGCTGTTGCACACTTAATAGACTACAGTATAAACATACCTTTTAAATGCAGGGGGAAGCCAAAAAATTCTTGTGACTCGTTTTATTACAATATTCGCTTTATTCTGGTAGTCTAGAGTCGAGCAATCTCTCTCAGTGCTTCTGAGGTATGCCCATACAGGACAATCTGAACTAGTGGTTGTTTCTCACGTGCGTGATCTAGGAGGTGCCAGTGTCCTGATGTCTGTCTGGTGTGATCTGAGCACTAACAGTCCTGTCTGCATTAGCAGCACTCATTGTACCCTCAACTTTGCATCCAGAGGGGACCCTGTGGCCCAAACCCACGTCCTGCTGCTGGACCCGTGGAAAGCATAAACGCAGGGCTCAGGGTGCCAGCCACCCCTCCGGAAGCAGGACACCTGTTGACTTTTTACTGCTGAGTAAGGTGAAAGTTGTTACTAACAGTTCTCACTCTTAAATCTTTTAACAGAGCAGCTTCATCATGAGAGGTGTGACTACTTTGGAGCTAATAAAAATTGAAACGGGCCCAAGTCATCTTTTTTTTTTTTTGAGACAGAGTCTCACTCTTTTTGCTCAGGCTAGAGTGCCGTGGTGTCAGCCTAGCTCACAGCAACCTCAGACTCCTGGGCTCAAGTGATCCTGCTGCCTCAGCCTCCCAGGTAGCTGGGACTACAGGCACGCGCCACCATGCCCGGCTAATTTTTTCTATATATTTTTAGTTGTCTGATTAATTTCTTTGTATTTTTAGTAGAGACGGGGTCTCGCTCTTGCTCATGCTGGTCTCGAACTCCTGAGCTCAAACAATCCGCCCGCCTCGGCCTCCCAGAGTGCTAGGATTACAGGCGTGAACCACCGCGCCCAGCCACCAAGTCATCTTTTTTTAAAAGTCATTAAAAGTAAATATTTTTTACTGAGAAAATAATAGGATTAAAAGGATCAAAGTTTAGCTTCCTAAGAAAACAAACTTATCTGCACCCTAATCATATGTAATAAGTTGGTGTTACTAATTTCATCAGTCTACTAAAGATAATTTGGAATACTATTTCAGCTTTTGTGTTGTATTTTTAAATTAATAACTCTGTTTCTTAAAACTATCCATGAGTTAGACTAAGATATCTGGGACTGTTTGGTTTACTTTCTTCAGTAACTCGGGAAAGCACTGTCAGCACTTTATGTGGAGATCCGTTCTAAGCAGTCTGCCCTGGCTCTGCTGTTCGACAGGTGTCGCATTTGAAGAAACACGTGAATGTCATCACTGTGAGATTCTCTTTTTATTTCCTGTCAGAATAACAGTGTGGACAGAAGAACCAGGGACGAAAGTGTGGGCTCCACCCAAGTGCTCACAGCCCTTTCAGGGAAGCTTCTGTGACTGGGCAGTAATCGTGGTTATGGGTGGTTATCGGGTTAGCTATAGTTATCATAGGTAGTTAACATTGTCGTAGGAAGTTATCAGTAGTTAGAATTATCAGAGGTAGTTATTGTAATCATTACGAGTAGTTATCACAAAGGAAGTTATCGTAGGTGTGTGTTGTAGTTATTATGGGTCAGTCTAGCTATCATAGGTAGTCACTGTAGGTAGTTATCGTAGTTATCCGGTTAGCCAACAGTGTCACTGGTCATCAGGTTGTTCCCCCAGTAGGGAAGCTGTGTCACTCGCTCCTGGTGCGTGTACGGAGAGTGTCACTGTGGATGGCGTCCGTGCTGGTGGGGCGGGCACACGCGTGTCTTGCGGACTCCCGCGCAGGGCACGTGGTTGCAGGTGTGCCTGGGTGCTCGTCTCCGCGGGCCGCCCTTTCTGACCGTCGTACCGTTCTTCCAGGGCATCTTCCACTTCCAGCTGGGCCGGGGCGAGCCGATGCTGCACACCCGCCTGCGCCCCCACTGCAGGGACTTCCTGGAGAAGGTTGCCAAGCTGTACGAGCTGCACGTCTTCACTTTCGGCAGCCGCCTGTACGCGCACACGATTGCAGGTCAGCTACCACAGCTGGGTTGAGTGGTGTTCGGGTCGTAAACATTGTAGTACATGCACAGTGGGTTTTATTTCTCTCCTGTTCTCAATAATGTTTTCTTAAAAACGGAGAAAGAAACGTAAGGAAGCTCTCCCTGAAACTCGACATCAGTCTAGAGCTGGCAGCCGTGCAACGGTAGTTGGGTGAGGTGGTTCTGCCCCCCAGGGCCTGGTGGGTGGGGCCCCTGCCAGTCTAGGAGTTTGTCAGGAGCACAGACACATGGAAAGATAGAAAGTTCTTTTTTATTAAGTGAATAATTCCAGAAATTAACATACTTTAAAAAATATTTTGTTAATTATTTCCAAGGGCTTGGGAGCCATGCTGATTGTGTGTGTTTGCACTCACGGCCTCCCTGCAGGCAGAGACATGAGCAGCCTGAGGGTTGAGCATGTCACACTTGGTCCTGCTGCCACGCGAGGATTGGGCCTGTGCGGCTCCCCCTCCACGCATTCCCAGGGCCCCTGGGCTGAGCTCAGGGATGGGCCCAGCTGGGTGGTCACCACCTGTTCTGCCCGTGGACATCAACCCGTATGATTAGGTTAGAAATGTTAAGAGCTTGGGATGCTTTTTATCTTATTGTAAAGACTCTAATAATTCTATTAATAAATTTTGGATGTAGCTACTGGGTGGCTTCAGTGTTCACATAGAACTTAGTTGTTCTTTATACAGTAAAAAATATATAATTTACTTCTTCTAAAAGAACAAGTATTCTTTTTAATGAATTGCCAACAAGTCAGTGATCCCAGGAAATTGAAACCTCCCATTAATGCTGCATTATGAAACACCAAGAGATGGCAACGCCTCGGTCAGCAAGCAGAGTCGTCCTCCAGGAGGGGCTCGCAGACCCCAGAGTGTGTCTCACAGCCCCAGGGGTGTGCGTGGCGATTCTCAGGGGACACACAGATAAACTTTTGTATTTTAATTACAATGTGTGTATTTCAACCTGCATTAGAAAACAGGAAACGTGTGTACCAAATTTGTGACTTCACAGGTGGTGTTGTAGAGGATGAGCCCAGGGTGGTGGGCTCAGGGTGGGGTTGGTGAGAGCCAATGTGAGTTAACCGGTGGTTAGGACACGTGTCAGATAACACAGGTGGACTTGGGGAACACAAATAATCAAATGAGAATTAACCTAAAAATGTAAGTCTTCACAAAACACGGATTGTATTGTCAGAGTTTGGGTTTAAAAATGCTTGTGAGCTGTCTAGCGCACCACCTTTGTTTACTGATAACTGAAACGCAGTGGAGGGCACTGTGTGGAGTGACAAAACCGAAGTCAGGGCTCCCGGCTCTGGATTGCCACGTGCTCGTGTTAGGGATCTGGTGCCTTTTGTTCCCGGCGCAGTGCGCATTGCAGCGGGTGGGGATTGTGTGTGCACACGCTGACTTGCTCTAGTCTCGATAGGCAACTCACCAGCATATTACACAGTTTTTCAAATTAACAGAATTATAAACACTTAGAAGCATGAATCATTTTTGAGAAATACAGTTTACAATCCGAGGGAGGTTGTCCTAAGTGAACAGTCTTACTGAACAGGGGCAAAGAGTCGGGTGCTGGCTGAGGTGCTGCGTGCCTGCTGTTACAGAAAGGTTTGACAGCTTTGCCGTGTGCGGTGTGATGCAAATGCGTCTCAGACATGCTGTCTTTGTCCTGTTTTCTTTTCAAAGGCTTTTTAGACCCCGAGAAGAAGCTTTTTTCTCATCGAATATTATCAAGGGACGAATGTATTGACCCATTTTCTAAAACGGGAAACCTTAGGTATGTACTTGGCAAATCCATGCAGAGACAGCTTACTATTCCGTTCCCGGCTGAAAACTGTGTGTTGAGAATTAGGGTGTAGGAATTTAGACACACACTCCTCCCCGCAATTTTCGGTGTACTTGGAAAGTTCTTTTCCAAGCCAGACTCCTCCCTCCTGCCATCTCCGGGTTGGTGGCTCTTGGGCCTTGTGCGGTGGCCCAGGGGTTCCCAGCCCCGCCTGAAACTGCTCCGGAGCCAGGCCCTGGTGTCTGCCGGGGGAAGCAGCAGCCCTCACCTCCGCCTCCTGTCTGTTGGGTGGCACAGGCTCCAGGTCAGCCGGGCACCAAGCTTGTGTACTTTCCTACTTTCTGTGTCTGTTCTAACCACACCTGGTGTAGGTGACAGTCCAGCCCTTCAGCTTTAGGTTTTCCTTCCTAGTCAGAGGCCTCTCGTTGAGGGTTACGGCAGGAAAGGCAGGAAGCAAACGTGCATCCCCACAGCATTCCAGTCTGAACTCACTGCTCTTCTGCCTTTGAATATCCAGGGAAGGGCAGGGGTTCCTGGGGGCTCAGGGACTCAACCGCTGGGGCCAGGACACAGGAGGGTGGAGCTGCACGGAGGGTGCAGGTGTGTGGGAGATACCTGTGAAGGTATCAAAGTGAAGAGACCAGTCTCTGGCCAAAAGAGCGTTTGTAACTTCACCTGATGTGCAAGGTCCTCAGTTTCGTGGAGCCACTGTCCAGAGGGGTTTTTGACATCAGCATTGGCATCTCAGATTTATAATTTTTTAGCAGCTTGCAAGGTGTTAATCCTGCTCATCGTTTATAACATCCTAAGTTACCACATTGCCTGTATTTTTGCCTGTGGCCATTTCTTCCTTCCATCAGCTCTAGGTGCCCTTCCCGTCGTCTCCTCGGCTTTCACGACAGGGCTGGCTCCTCCCCGCTCCTGGGTGAAGGACTGTTTTATATTCTTTGACATTTCTTGCTCGCTCTGTACGAGGAATCTCCCCATTTCTACCGGCTTTACCTACCTTTGTAACTGTGTCCAGTGCGGCTTATTTTTGTGGGTGATGGTAACACCATATCAAGGGTAGGTTTTCATGGCTCTTCCTGAGAAGACGGTAACAACTTCAGTCACAGCAGTTTTTTGGCTCATTCTGGCCACCCTCATCTAAACATTCCCTTTCCAGATTTAGGGATCCACACAGACTGTGAGACCTATGCAGGTTAAATATTATCTAAGAAGAATCTGAAGTTATTTATTTCAAAGATGGACCTGTCTTTTGCTAGTTAGTGTTGGAGTGGGCGGATTGAGTAAGGCAAAAGAAAATGAGAGCTGATGTTAGTGGTTCATTAAGGAGCAAAAGTTACCTGAATGAGGATGTCAGAGTCAAATGGGGACACTTCCCAGGTGGGCGCAGGTGGTGGGCACTGTGGCTTGCACAGAGGGGGCTGCGGGTGGCTTAGAAAGTTCTAAATAGGCAGTCGGGTCTGTGTTCAGAGTCAACAAGCTCATCCCTTCACAAGGGTTGAGGAGGGTCGCTGTGGGCCGCGAAGCCTGGTAGTTACTCTCTGGCCCTTTAAGAAAAAGAAAAAGTTGGCAGACTCCTTGCCGTGAGCAGAATCTGGAGCAGTGGGACAGAGAGTGTAGTTACTGCGCTGGCGTCTCCTGGGAACGCTGAGTTTAGATACCCTACAAAAGCCTCAGTGGAGTCTGTTTCTGTCTCTGATTAACCTGCCATCTGCTGGTTGCATAGAGAGTATGATCTTAAACCATTGTGTTTAGCAAAATGAACAATTATTACAGCTTTTAATTACTAAATCAAATTAAATTACTCATTTTTACGTGTAGAAACCTCTTTCCTTGTGGAGACTCAATGGTTTGCATCATTGATGACCGGGAAGATGTGTGGAAGTTTGCGCCCAACCTGATAACCGTGAAGAAGTACGTCTACTTCCAGGGCACGGGCGACCTGAACGCACCACCTGGCTCCCGGGAATCTCAGACGAGAAGAAAAGGTGGGTTACCTCTTTCCTGATTCTTTAGAAGAAAATAATTTGCATTTTGCTTGTTTATCTTTTATTTCTTATCTCTTTTAGCTGTTAAAAATTCAAGGTTTACTTTGTTTTTGTTTTGCTTTTTGCATTTCAGTAATTATAGAGGTTTGGGGGTTTATTTATGTAGTGCTGAAAAGCAGGATATTATTCTATTTCATTTGGGCTTTTTAAAAAAATGGCACTAAAACGTTTTCTCAGTTTGAATAAAGATCAAAGAATGCCGTTTAATTTAATACATCCGAATCATATCTGTCATCCTGTTTTCCTTAAATGTGACCCCGGGATTTGTCCGTGGGGTTCTTCGGATGGTGGTTCTCCTTGTGCAGCCGTCCAGGCTGTGCCCTGGCCTGGCCCCCAAGCATGGTGTGGTTTAGCCTGTCAGGCAAGTGCGCAGCCAAAGTCTGTCCTAAAAAATGATTTTGGTTTTAAGTATTTCTGATCTTTAATTTTTAAATAAAATATTTTGAGTCATGTGTTTACTGCTGTTGTCACTGAAGTAGAACTTAGGTGTTGAGGCCATGGGGAAGTGGAGGGGGGCATTCGTGTAGCAGGTGGGGCTTGGTGCAGGGTGGGTGGATGTGGCCGCAGGCCAAATCTGTGGTCTGTGAGCCGAGAGTGCATTTCACATCTCTAAAGGTTGTAAAACAAAGGGACTCTACATCTGTGGCCCACAAACCTCAAATGTTTACTATGGGTTGAATATCCCTAATTCTAAAACCCAAAATGCTCTGAAATCTGAAACCTTAGAGCACCAACCTGATGCTCAGAGGACATGCTCTTTGGAGTGTGTTGGATTTTCAGACTTGGGGTGTTCAGCGGGTGGGTTTAATGCGTAAATGCCAAAATTTGGGGAAAAAATTCAATATTCAAAACACTTTTGGTCCTAAGTATTTCTGATAAGAGATACTCAACCCATATCTGGCTTTTGACAGCAAAAGCTGCCAAGGCCTGGTGTAGAGGATGGTCAGGTTCGTAGCTGGGGAGCTGTGCTGTTTTAATTCTGAATGTCATTTAATGCTATGACGGTAACCCTCCTCTGTGTGCATGTTCAGTGAACCATTCTTCTAAAGGTGCCGTCTCAGAGCAGGCGCCACCTGCCAGGGACCCCGAGGAAGGAAAGCAGGCGCCTGGGCCCGAGCAGAGGGATGGCCTGGGGCAGCCCGTGAGGCAGCTGAACGGTGGTGAAGCTGTTCCCCAGGGGGACGTGCCCCGGCCCAGGCAGGCGGGTGAGCAGGATGCCCAGGCCCAGTCCCCCCCGACCGGCAGCCCCAGCAGCCACGAGCCGGCAGAGGCCCTAGAGCTTCAAAAGCCTTGTGAGCAGGGCGGCCGGGTCTCCCCAGGCACGCCGCCTGCCCAGGGCACCCCAGGTGCGGACTTGGATTTTGACTTATCCAGCGACAGCGAGAGCAGCAGTGAGTCGGAGGGTCCTAAGTCGTCATCCTCCACCAACTCTGATGGAGAGAGTGAAGAAAAGAGCAACCAGAGAAAGCCCAAAGCTGCCCCAGAGGGCAAGAGGGTGCTGCCTCGTGCAGGCTCCCCTGACGCTGGCGGCGGGAGGCCTGCAGGCGCTAGTCACCCCGGGGAGTCTGGGCCCAGCGTCCATCCTCAGGACAAAGGGCCCGAGCCGGGTGCGCCAGAGGAGAGCGAGCGCGACAGCCTCTGCGGCCTGGGCAACGGCTGTGCGGACAGGAAGGAGGCGGAGACAGAGTCGCAGAACAGCGAGCAGTCCGGCATCACTGCGGGCGAGTCCCTGGACCAGAGCGTGGAGGAGGAGGAGGAGGAGGAGGACACAGACGACGACGACCACCTCATCTACCTGGAGGAGATCCTGGTCCGGGTGCACACTGACTATTACGCCAAGTACGACAGGTACCTCAACAAGGAGATCGAGGAAGCTCCGGATATACGGAAAATCGTGCCTGAACTCAAGAGTAAAGTGTTGGCGGATGTCGCCATCATATTTAGCGGGCTGCACCCCACAAACTTCCCGATAGAGAAGACCCGGGAGCACTACCACGCCACGGCCCTGGGCGCGAAGATAGTCACCCAGCTGGTGCTGAGCCCCGACGCCCCTGACAGAGCCACGCACCTGATCGCCGCGCGGCCAGGTGAGTGTGCCAGGCCCTGGGGGTGCGGGAGTGGTGGACAGGGTGCTCTGCCAAGGTAGGGGAGGCTGGGGGGCCTGTCGTAGTCATTCTGCAAAGTCACCGTAGCTTTCCGTTACTCACTGAACCTTCAGGACCATTTGCCAGAGCCATTACCTTTTAAGAACAGAGTAATAACTATTTTGGCTAAATTCCAATTTGAGCGTCTTATGTTTGCCTGAGTACATGGGTCACGCCCAGCGCTGTGGCGGGTGTGTGTGCTCCGTGTGCGGTCAGGACCTTCTCCTAGGAGCGGAAGTCATGGCTCAGCTGGAGAGCAGGGAATCGAGCTGGGGTGCAACGGAGAAGTCGGGAGGCAGGTGCAGCAGTCGGGGTGGGAGACTGACCGGCCCTCTGTGCTAGAAAACAAGCGCAGGTTTTCACCCGAAGCGCACACGGGACAGTTTCTGTCGTTGGAGAGTGGGTGTGAGGGGTGGCTGCTCCTTGCGGTAAAGTCTGCCTGGGGCACAGCTGGGGCTGGGGCCGAGTGAGACGGGGCCCTTACGGTTGGGGAGGTCTTGAAGGCTCATTGTACTCACTGCTTAAAGAAAACATACATCTGATTACGTTTTGAAAATGCTCCTCACAAGCAATTTGCTTTTTCCCAAATGAGGGCTGCAGGAATCACCTTAGGCTGCTCATCAAATCACCGTTTCTCTCATGACCTCCATCGACTGAGTCAGGGCTTCGAAATACTCGGAGCCGCCTGCAGGGCTCAGGGGGGCCTCAGGGGCTCAGCTGATCCCCGCCCGGCTCCACAAAGGTCGGCATGGGTTGTACTCAACTCGGTGGTTCCAGGATGGGCCAGGTCACGTTTGACACAAGTCCAAGCTGCATTGAGTAAAGGGTGAGTGGGAGGTGCTTATCAGCGTAGGATGCTGAGATGGCAGAGGCAGGCTGTTCACGTGTCCCCGAGAAACCTTATGTCCCAAGAGAGCACCACCCCCGCACCTCCCAGAGGCAGGGAGGTCCCCCTTCCAGAGCACCGGGGCTCCTGGCCGCTGGGAGAAGTGACTTTCCCAAGGACACAGCAAGAGGGACTTGGTTGCGGGGTCCTGTCCCACGCTGTGCTTGGCGCCCCTCACCTGCTCAGCCCTGAGGATGGTGTGGCTGAGTGGGGTGGTGCGGTCTTGGAGGTAGAGCTCGGTTTGGGGCCCTGAAGGGCTCGTGGAGGAGCTGAGAGTCCACTGGGGAGGAAGGTGGTGTGGTCTGAGGTCCTTCCGGGACTGCTGTCCACGCGGTCACTGAGACTGAGAGACACCTAGTTCTGTCCTGTGGGGTGTCAGGGGCCCTGCCCTGGCCTGTGGTCAGCTGCTGTGTTGTGTCCAGGATTCAGGCTCAAACCAGGCCTCAGTGGCCTTGGGCGTCTGCAGGGGTACCGTGAAACTTGCACCATCTGTGTGTGTTACGGTCACGGCTGGAGAGGCAGCAGGAGGCACAGGATCAGTGGGCGACTCAGCCCCTGGAGCCGGCGGGGTGGGGAGCAAGGTCTGCAGGAGCCTGGGGGCCTGGGGAGGGCAGAGGATAGGGCAGGTCAATGGCCGCCGTCGCCCAGCGTGTGGTAGGGCACGTGTTCCGGGGTGTGGGAGTCAGGTCGTGCAGTGCCTGGGGTCCTGAGAGAGGGTGGCCCTGTGGGGCAGTGGCTGCGGAGTGGGAAGGGAGAGGGTTGCAGGCCAGGGTCCAGGCCCGGAGGCCCTGGCGGCAGAACCTGTGGGCTTCCGGAGCAGCTGGGTATGTGCAGAGGCTACCCCCGCGGAGGTTCCTTCCCCCATGCGATGCCAGCCGCCAGCCCCTCCCCCACAGCCCGCGCCCTGCCGCTCCGCACTTCCAAAGCCCAGCAGCTGCAGGGATGACCTGACGAACGCGGTTTCCCCACAGGCACGGAGAAGGTCCTGCAGGCGCAGGGGTGTGGGCACCTGCACGTGGTCAGCCCCGACTGGCTGTGGAGCTGCCTCGAGCGCTGGGACAAGGTGGAGGAGCAGCTCTTCCCGCTCAGGGAGGACGACGCCCGAGCACAGAGGTACCGCTGGAGGCCCTCGCCCAGATTTGCGGGCGGGAGACCAAGGCTCCGCAGAGGCGGGGAGGGAACTCCGCTGCTGGGTGTTTCCTGGGACCTGTGGGGGCCTCTGCATCTCCGTCCCGGTCACCCCACCTCCTGCTCCGCAGACCCTATGGGCCCACAGGTGAGCTTCAGGAGCTCACGTGACCACTCACACCTGAGAAAAGAACTGGCATTGCTTTTTCTCTGAGTGTGGTGTGGCGTTTAGTAGTGGATCTTAGAGTGATTACATTTCTCTACGCTGGGGAGTAGTTACAGGAGTTACCTAAAGGGTAGGCTAGGTCTTAGGATGGTGCCAGGAAAAGTGGTCGACCACAGAAAAGCCGTGGTCAGTCGAGCCTTGGGGCAGGTTTGCAAAACCATATGCAACACTCAGAGGTGGTGGCACAGGGAGAAGCGGGGGTCCCGTCTTTACGTGCTCACAGTGAGAGTCGGCATACTGGGGAAAGCAGCAGGAACACGAATGTGCTGTTGAGAGGAGGACTCTTCTGTGTCAGAAATCTGAGCGTTGCATCTGGGGTAAAGTTCCGCGGAGGGCCTCAGAGCATCTTGAGGGTACGGGATCGACATAGTCCAGTCCTGGGATTGCGCCCTTCAGCTCCTGACAGCAAGACTGTCATTTCTCTACAGGATTGGGCACTGTAACTCTCGCACGCTTTTGGGTTCTAGAATTTAAGAATTGCACGTCTTCCACCTGGATGAGCTTAGGGACCAAGAGCGGTGCCTGCTGGGCAATCGACCCTCTGCCCACCGGGGCCAGCACCACATTCATGGCCCTTGTTCTCTTGCTCAACAGGGACAGCAGCCCCGCGGCCTTTGCTGACAGGGAGGGCATGCTCCCGTCCACGCTGTTCCACCCGATGCCCGTGCACCCCAAGGCCCCGCCAGGCCCGGAGGTTCGGGTCTACGACTCCAGCACCGGGAAGCTCGTCAGGACAGGTGCCCAGGGCCCCCAGCCCCCGCCCCCTGGCACCCTGCCTGTCCACGGGGAGCCATCCTCTTTCAGGTACATCGCAGCACCTCAGAGCTGTCCTTTGTTAGCGGGAGCTGGCGCCCGGGGTTTTTTGAGTTCATTGTTTTAGTCCTGTTAAGGGATGGTGGCGGGTACCTGCAGTGAGGACAGGTGACGGTAGAGGCTGTTGAGTCTGTTGGGTGGCCTGGCTGAGGACTGACTCCCAATTTAGGGAAACACCTCCCCACTTACACTCCTGGGCTTTTTGTTTGTTCTTCTGTCCTGTCTTAGGTCCCAGAACTGGAACAGAAACCTCCCGAATTAGCCTCTAAAACATCCCGCACAGGCTGCTTCATTTGTAGACCGGACCCGCCCTGGTTGGTTATGTGTCCTGGGTGCTCAGCAGAGGCCGGGCCATGTGGGGCCAGTTCCGACCCCTCCGTGCCCCACCCTCTGTATCTGCTCCCTGCAGACCCTCCAGTGGTCGGGCACGGCTGTCCCTGCTGCCCTGCCACGTGTTCATGTGCTCAGAGTAGACTCGGGAAGTGGCGGCAGTGGCGCTTTGTGAATGGGCACACGAGGAGAAACCGCGCTGGGCCAGAGGCTTAGGGAGTCAGGATTGGCGCTGCCCAAGAGAGGTCGAGGTCTGTGCCGGTGAGGGGACCTCCTGAGCCGACCTTTTCCTCGCTCCTCTGCATGGACGAAGTCAGCCCTCAGCCTGAGGGCGTGTCCCCTGCAGGCCACCTTGTACGTGGCCGTAGGACCGTTCTGGAGATTTAAATGAGGACTATTTGGCTGTTTTTCCCGAAGTGGTCATTGCTTGGAAATTCCCATGATACACGTGTGATCACGCATCCCTTTCCCCTTTCTTTTCTGAGAGCCCCCGACCCTCCCAGCAGTCGCCCCACACGGTTAGCAGAGCAGAAACCGGAGTGGCCTTCATTCCGCCCGTAGTGCCAGGCCTGAGCGGCTCAGCGCGGTTCTCCTCGAGGGGGTTTCGGGATGGGCAGTGACTGCGACCTGTGTCCGTGCCTCTGCCGTTCTCCAGCCTCGGGGACACTTGAGAGGTCCGCCCAGGACATTTGTTAGAGATTGTGGCTTCCCTCTCTCTGGATGTGGACAGTTCCGTGGCCGGCCTTGGAACGGAGCCAACCCAGCAGGCAGAGAGGAAGCATCAAGGCCCCGGCATAATGTCGCCCTCCTGGGAGCTCAGCCTGAAGCCCGCCTGCCTCGGGGGCCCCCGACAGGAGCCGGCACGTCCCTGAGATGCCAGTTTGAGGCGGGCTTTGGGTTACTCACTGCTTTGTCGTTGGTAACTGAAAGCATCATCACTAATTAAACATCCCCCAGCAACGTAGTGTTTGTTCATCTGCACAGTCGAATTACGACCTGCGGCTGCTGCTGGTTTCCCTTTGGAGTGACTTTCCAAAAGTGGGTCACCGAGTTCAAGGCCAAGTATGTTTTTAACTGTAATAGGCGAGATCAGTGATTTTGCCAAGAATCTGTTGCGGTCGCCCTCCACCTAGTGGGGCACGTCAGCATGTCATGCACACGCATGTGTGCATGTGGATGGCATGTCTCTGACACGTCTGTACAGCTGTTCACGCTGGCAGCTGGAGAGAGCCTGTTTCGTTTCGCGTTGATTTTTGGCTGTCCTGGAGGGGGTGGGCTCTGCGTGTGGGGGTTGGCCCGTGGTTCATGGCAGTGAGCTCCCCTGTGGCCCGACCGCTCCCCATCCAGGCCTGGCGTTGCTGTGCCTTCCCGTCTGGGAAGTGTTCGCTGTAAGTTTCAGAAACACCCTGAGGACGATGTTGGCCACTAACACGTGGGGGACGTGGCCTGGAGTGTCCCGAGGTTCGGGGAGCTTCACCCTTCTGGAGCGATGTGGAATGTTAGGTGTTTTTCTTTGCAGCGAACATCTTTGGCTCAAACATTTATAAACAGTCCGTTGAACTGAGCTCTGTGTAGCATTCTCTGTAAACTTGTTCCTGGAATGTTCCTCACAGTGGATTTATTCAGAACCCCCCTGCCCTATTTTAAAATTTTGGGGGGATCTCATTTGCAGTAAATTCTACCCATTTTTTAAAGTGTGAGCATGTCAGGCAGCTGCTGAACAAGCAGCTGGTGACTGGGAGGCGGGGTGGAAGCGAGCAGTGCGCTGCCTGCATTTGTGGCGGGCGTGATGGGGACGGAAGGCCTCTGTATCTGGAGTGACTCCGGTTTGGGTTATGCCGTGGGGTGTGCTGCATTAGGGTTTCTGGCACTGTGTCTATGTTTTACTGCCCCGAAGTACTTCAGAGGTGGTTGGTTTTTAAAAATCCAGCCTTGTTGTTCTCTTTGTTAAAATTGTAATGTGTGCAGATTTTGGGTTGTTCGTGGTGGACTCTGCTTGTTACCAGGTGGTTACATTTTCTGTTGCTGGGATGTTCTTTAACGGTGGTGAGATCCTCCTTTTCCCCTAGGTGTCCTGCATTGGAACGTAAGCAGGACAGGGTGCAGCAGGCTGGGTCCAGGAGGAGGGTGGGCATGGCCAGAGAAGGGGGTGTCTGGGTGCAGGTTCTGCTGCCGGCAGCCTTGGGGTAAGTGAAGCCACCCTGATTTTGCAAATTCCCATGTGCACCCCGAAGACAAGGTTTCCAGGCAGATGTTGCGTTAGAATGGGCCCTGGTGCTGGGGTTCTGAGCTGTGCACAGGATGCCACCTGGCACCCTGGCCAGCACATGCGTGGGGGCAGATGTCTTGTGACTAGCAGCAAATACAGCAGCGTGGGAGGTGAACTCACTGTGGAGCCAGCAGGTTACCCAGGATGCCCAGGTGACTGAACCTGGGCGTGTTTCTGTATCATGGACACAGCCGGGCGTGGGAGGACAGGATCAGGATTAGAAGGTTCAGTGAAACTTCTGACAAAGTTCTATAGCCATGACTGCTAAGAAATAGGGTTAGAACTACGTGGTGCTGGCTCAAAATGAAGGCGTCGGACACTGGGAGCTGCCCAGGTGCTGCTGGGACAGGGCAGGAGGCTTAGCACGCAGACATGAAGCGAGGACTTGGCACTCTGGGGAGAGGCAGGTGGAGAGTGAGCCATGGCGGGGCAGAGGCCAGTGTGGCGGCAGGTGCTGGTGCCAGAGACGCCGTCAGAACCGGACGTGGTGAGCTCTGTGGTCAGCAGGGGCACTTGGCTCAGGCAGCGGAGTCCTGGGGGGGAGGCTCCTCCAGCAGCTCAGCAGGCGTCAGCGGCACACGTGGCAGAGTAGGACCGCTGCTCGCACCTGGCTCAGGCCCCGTGAACTGTGGCTTCTGAGAGACTTCACAAGTTCAGACACATTCTACTTACTCCCCTAGAACCTAGAATGCTGGGCTAGAAACAGCTGTTTACAGGTGATGGAAAGAAGTTCTCTCTTCCAGACCCTTCATGCATCCCGGTCTGTCCTGGTGCGGTCGAGACTGTGGCCTTGAGTGCGCAGCCCTCGGAGTCAGGGAGAAGCACGCTTGTCGGCGAGATCTGTGCAAGGCAGCTACCAAATGTCTTTCTAGAAGGCTAGGACTTCGTCCTTCAGTGCTAGTGCATTTCTTTGTTTGACTTAATTAATTCCAGCCTTCCAGCCGTGTTGACAAACCTCGCTGGACGACTTACTGAGGAAATACGAAGAATAGGCTTATACTGACAGTAACCAGAGATTTCCACTTTGCAGACGATTGCATTTCACTCACGTCTTAATGGTTATGTGATCCAGATTATTGTGGTAGGTTGTATTCCCTAGTATGTTAAAATCTGAATTAGTGGAAACATGACAGCTCTTGACATTAAAGCGATACGGCTAAAATTTAGTTTCTGAGCTGCAGTTTTACAATAATGGTTGCATAATTTAAAGTCACCACAAAATCAGTATGATAGCTGATAGCTACATGAGCAATACCTGTTTTTTAGAATCTGCGTACTATTGAAAATAAAATCACAAACCTTTCACTTATTTTTTCTTAAATAGAACAAAAGCATATTGTGTTAAACTATATGGAAGTGTTAAAAATTGGACACAAAATTGGTTTTTGAATTATTCAGACTTGCTTGGAGTGTCTGCAAACTAGGACTTTCTCAGATAGATGAAAAGAAGTAATCGTTATCTGAAAACAGACCATGCAGACGGCAAACTGAACTTGAATGAAATTGAACACTCTTTTACTTGAATAACACTAATAATATGGCAATAGATAACCACGTATCTGTTCTGAAATGTGTATAATTTATGTGAACAGCAGTGGTTCAGTTTCAAATGACGCCTCCCTGCGCCTGCGTTCCTGAGGCGAACGCACCTCCCGGGCTGCAGTTCGTTCTGACGAGTGGACTGGATGAAATCGCCTTTTCTTTTTAATCTGGAAGTGTGATTTGCACCAAAATATTAATTTTCTTAAGTTGTTACCTGCCCATTTGGGTTTCCAAAGGACATTAATAAGATTTCTTAAACCGTATTAACCATATACATGTTGTGGTGGAAGGTGGCACTGCTGTATCCAAACCAGCATGTTGTGCTGGTCTCGTTTACCTCAGAGGTACCTAAACAACCTTTGTCACATTGAATTAATCACATTTTGTTTCTCTCCTCACTTGAATATGTAGGAAACTATGTGTTCTCCTGAAACTAATAAGCGTTGGTACTGCTCGTTGATATTAATAGTTCTGTTTTCAAGATTGATGAAATGACCAACTTTGTAAGAAAAAAGGAATCCCCGTTTTGGTCTCCTCCTCTCCCCGTCTAAACATAGCTCCCGACACCCGAGGGACAGAAACCTACGGGGACCAGACTGATGTCCCCAGAGGGCTTTCTGTGCCGTGATGAGGGGCTAGACCTGGATTGGTCACGTGTGTGGTCCAGTCCTGCCGTAACTCGGTAAATGGACTTTACCTTTTCCTTGCTGGGTGAGATCCAACGTGTTCCGTCTTGGTGACAGAGTGTGAAATGTTCCCTTTTAATTTAAACCCAGAGCCTTTCCCCATCCGAGTCATGTTGTGCCTGCCCATCTCGCACACTAAAGAGACACGTCCGTGTCGTGTTTCT